TCTTCTTCTTTTACCTCACCGCGTGTCTGTTGTGGGGAGGGGAGGGAAAGGAGTTTGCGAGCCGCTCTGAGACTCCCTTGGGTAGTGAAGGGCGGGGTATAAATCCAATCTCTTCTCCTTCTTTTACCTCACAGGATGTCTGTGTGGGGAGGGGAAGGGAAAGGAGTTTGTAAGCCGCTCTGAGACTCCTTTGGGTAGTGAAGGGCGGGGTATAAATCCAATCTCTTCTCTTCTTCTTCTAAAATAGGCTGGGGGGGACGACAGTGAAAAATTGGAAGTCAAAATTGGGGGTCTTTGGCGACCTTAGGAGTATTGAATATGGGCTCAGAGACGGTGGCCGTGAGGACTGCTTTGTGCTTTACAGAGTTTGGGGAAATTGAATATCTTCTTATTTTTTATGTGCTGAAACAGTGTCGGCTCCTTCGTCAGTCGGCCAGTCCGAATGGATCCAGCAAACCTTAACAAAAAGCGACCGTCCAGAGTTGACGAGTGCAAAAGTTGTTGTATCGGGTGGTAAGTAGATGAGAACGATGGTGGGGTTATTGGTCAGCTTCTAATGTATTATAATACTCAGGGCTTTTTTTTTCTGTTATGCCTGATTATTATTTTATTTTTATTTTTGCTTTGTGATGGGCGGAAGAATCTAGTTTATCTAAGGAGTGTGCACCTGCTAAATAATCACAACAATTTATTTGCTTACTTACAAACCTCCTATTTTGCCAGGACTGAAGGTGAGTTAGAAAAAACAATGCAATAAAGAAAAAAACCAGTATTAAGACCTGCCGTAAACAAATGCCAGCGTTTGAATATTCAGACAATGAAACAAGCCTAAAATAATGCATATTTCCTGTAAGATCTGCTTTTAAAGCTGCCACAATTGGTACCTGGTGCTGTGGCATAGACTTGGTCCTAATCCCCACGGGTTTAGCTTGCGGAACCGAGGTTTCTCGCCTCTGCCTTTTGACTAAAATACCTTAAAAGCTACCTGATTATTATTTTATTTTTATTTTTGCTTTGTGATGGGCGGAAGAATCTAGTTTATCTAAGGAGTGTGCACCTGCTAAATAATCCCAGCAATTTATTTGCTTACTTACAAACCTCCTATTTTGCCAGGACTGAAGGTGAGTTAGAAAAAACGATGCACTAAAGGAAAAAGAAAACAGTATTAAGACCTGCTGTAAACAAATGCCAGCGTTTGAATTTTCAGATAATGGAACAAGCCTAAAATAATGCGTATTTCCTATAAGATCTGCTTTTATAGCTGCCACAATTGGTACCTGGTGCTGTGGAATAGAGTTGGTCCTAATCCCTACGAGTTTAGCTCGCAGAACCGAGGTTTCTCGCCTCTGCCTTCTGACTATAATACCTTAAAAGGTAAAGGTTTCCCTTGCTCGAAAGCCAGTCGAATCCAACTCTAGGGGTGTGGGGCTCATCTCCGTTTCCAAGCCGAAGAGCCAGCGCTGCCCGAAGACATTTCCGTTGTTATGTGGCCAGCATGACTAGACGCAGAGGTGCACGGAACACTGTTACCTTCCCACCGAGGCGGTAGCTATTTATCTACTCGCAATTTCTTGCTTTCGAACGACTAGGCTGGCAGGAGCTGGGGCCAGAGACGGGAGCGTCACACGGCACTCGGGTCTCGAACTGCTGAACAAAAGACCTTCCGGTCTGCAGTTCAGCGTCTCAACCTCTGAGCTGCCATGGCACTAAAACCTGATCTTGAAAGCTTCCAGCCGAAGAGGGGACCTGGTGGAAATACAATTCTTCCCCGCCCTTCACCAGCCAGAAGCGCCTTTCGATTGTGGCGCTGCTTCCGTTCCACACGTCTCATTTATTGTCTCTTAACCTTTGCGAGTGGGCAGTTCTCGGCTTTCTTACTCGAAAGCCTTAAGTGTGTGTGTTTGGGGTGTATGTCATCGGCCAGGTGCTAATTCCTTAGTGTTCTATCGACAACACGGGAAGGAATATATGCACAAGTAAACTGCATTCGTCCTAAAGCAGTGTAAACAAAAGAGTGATTTCAGATCCGCAGAAGCGTTTCAGACTGGGTCATTCAGTATCAAGTGTTCTGTTTGAAATACCTGTCAGGGGCACAGGAGAAGTTTGGAAAGGGGGGGGGGGAGAAGGGCCGAGGGCAGCCGTGCCCAACGTCGGCCCGCGCCTTTCACCAGCCAGAAGCGCCTTTCGATTGTGGCGCTGCTTCCGTTCCACACTTCTCATTTATTGTCTCTTAACCTTTGCGAGTGGGCAGTTCTCGGCTTTCTTACTCGAAAGCCTTAAGTGTGTGTGTTTGGGGTGTGTGTCATCGGCCAGGTGCTAATTCCTCAGTGTTATATCGACAACATGGGAAGGAATATATGCACAAGTAAACTTCATTCGTCCTGGCTGTCTCTCCCATGAGGAGGGAGACCAAACAGATGGCTTGTGTTCAGCTGTGTGCAGCTTGACTAAACGCTGCTGCACTTTGTACAAGAGGGGCCTGTACTTGCCGACTTCCTTAAATCTATTTATTGACTTACTATGTTTATATCCTGCTTTTCTCCCCAAAGTGGCTTGCATTGTTCACCTTTCCTCCGTGAATTTAATCAAACCTCTGCCCCTAGAAGCATCGAAGGGAGGCGCTTTCAGAAACGGGGTTCCTTTAAGCTTTTCTTTAAGTCTTATCGTTCGAGACTTTGGTCTAAGAACAGGAGAAGAGAAAAAGAACCTTGTTTCGGTCTGGAACGTGCCCGGAGGCGCCTGTGTGGAGGAGCCAGTTTGGTGTAGTGGTTAAGTGCGTGGACTCTAATCTGGGAGAACCGGGTTTGATTCCCCACTCCTCCACTTGCACCTGCTGATGTGACCTTGGGTCAGTCACAAGCTCTGGCACAGCTGTCCTTGAAAAAGAGCAGTTTGTGTCAGAGTTCTCTCAGCCCCACCCACCTCACAGGGTGTCTGTTGTGGGGAGGGGAAGGGAAAGGAGTTTGTAAACCGCTCTGAGACTCCAAGTGAAGGGCGGGGTATAAATCCAATCTCTTCTTCTTCTTCTTCTTCTTTTCCTGAACCCTGAACTTAAAATATATTAGCACTTTTTCTATGAAAATTTAAGCCAATTAAACCAGGGTGTGGGTGTGGGTGGGGATTAGTGAACAGTGTCCGAAGAGAAGCAGTTCTTGGTGCATAACCTTTAAAAGCAAAGCTCTTTGTGGAAGGAAGCATTAACTATTCGTTACTCGTATTTTAAAGCTAGATTTGAGTTCAGTTAGAGAGTTAGAAGATGTTTTGGATATAAGCGTTCAAGAGTCAAAGTTCCCTTCATCAAGGAAGGGAGCATTGAGTCTCGAAAGCTTCTCTCCAGAAAAATCTTGCGTCTGAGGTGCTACTGGACTCAAGTATAGCTACCCTCTGAGACGAGCAATGCTCCCTCTAAGCCGTGGAGTTTTGTGAGCAAAAACATTACTTTGTGAGTCACCGGCATTAAAGTTGTGAGTGAGCGATTTGGCTCCTGCATAAATGAGTTTGCTCCGGAGCCCTCCTTCCTGGGCTGAGACAAAAATGTGTGAGCCGGAGGCTAAAAAACGGTGAGCTAGCTCACACTAACTCAGCTTAGACGGAACACTGGAAACGAGTCTTTTTAAGGTAACCTTTCCTTGCTTCTAGTTGGAGCCTCTCGTGCAGCTGTTGACGCTGGCTTTGTCCCCAACGATATGCAGGTCGGACAGACGGGCAAAATTGTAGCACCCGTAAGTACCTAAGCGATGTTAAGAAAAGAGGTGGGTTAGAAAACAGCTAAAGAACATAAAGAAGTATCCTTTGGACTTCCTCCTCGAGAGCCGGCTTTGTGTAGTGGTTAAGAGTGGCGGACTCTAATCTGTAGAACCGGGTACGATTCCCTACTCCTCTACACGAAGCCAGCTGGGTGACCTTGGGTCAGTCACAAGTTCTCTCAGAACTGTTCTCTCAGGGGCAGTTCTCTCAGATCTCTCTCAGCCCTGCCTGCCTCACAGGGTTGTCTGTT